ATCTGTTGGGTCCTCCTTCCGTACGTCTGTTGGCTGTCTTCGTCGGTTTGCATTATCCGCTTTCGCTACACCCTTCTCGGATGCAACTATGAAGCGGCCATTTCATTACGTGTCACAAAGCCCTGCAGTACTGAAAGGCTTGATCAGACCGATGCCTGCTGTTTTGGCGAACGGGGGTCTTAAACTGGGTCGTATCAGAGATTGGAAACCCTACCGAAGATGGTGGCGCAATCGGTGGCGCGCTTGCACTCCATTTAATTGCCACTAGCTGTTAATACCGTAGCCAGACTACTTCACTTACTTTTTCCTAATCTCCTCTCCTTTTCTCGTCTCACCTCATTTCCCCCACTACTGTTACTTAGTACTGTCTTGGTGACACAAGTTGCAGCAACTGAATCCACCGCGTTTCGGTACCCTAATCTCAACTGTTTAGACGAATCCTGGGCCCTTGTTTGACAAAGGAACAAACGAAATGCGTCTGAACTGAGCAATCAGTCACCGGTTCCAAATGGGCGCAATTCCCTGAATTCACTCCGCTGCCATGCGGGTAGGCTATTCGGCCAAAGGCTCGAGGTGGTGTCTCCTAAGTCAACACCCTACTTCGGCTTGGGAACTGGGTAGTATCTCGCCCTCTGCCGAAAGCATGGACTTTGATACGTTGCGTTGTGTTTTACGATTTCTTTTTAGTCCCATGGTTTCTGATGGCTCTGTCTATTCACAGACGGTTGCACAGTATATATATATATATATATATATATATATATATATATATATATATATATATATATATATATGCGAATCCGGATGAAAAACGAGTTAGGACACAAGCTAGTGAACACAAAGTCACATGGTTGGCGCACTCCTCTTGTCTACGTTTTTCTAGCTATTCACGGACCATGGATGTATCACGAAAGATTCTGTTCTTAACAGCGAGATCTCTAACCACATCAATCTCATCTAGTGTATCCGCCACTTGTTTGCGTGTAGATACTGCGCCGCTTTAGTTGGCCATTTCCATCTCTATGTCCCGGTAGAGAATTCTGATTTCACCTACCTCATATGTATCGCATAACATCTGAGGATTGACTGCTGTAACTGTGAGTGTACTTCAACTGGCTACACGCGATCGCCGGCGTCCCCACAAGTTCCAGCGTGCATTTTCACAGCGGACGCGTGTTGTGTGCAACACGCCTGCCTCAAATGCACCGTTCGCTCTTTTCGTTTGTACAGCCAACCAGCAGACCGTACTGTCACAGCCTACGCCGTATCTTTTTTCGGCCCTGTTGTCCGTTACAATCGATGTGTACCGTGGCGTGCCAGCATGCATGTTTGCTCTGTTCACTGCACAAGTTCTTACTTGTTGATTAGTGCGTTGCGTTGTTTTGCGTCTTACCTGCTGTTGTGTTCACGGTCCTCGCGAAGAAGCGCCTTTATCCAACTTCCTTCTCCGATATATTACACTTTTATGAATTGACGTACTCCTTTCGCATATTTCACATATTATCTCGTCGACTATCGAAAGCCATGCTATCGGTAATGCGTCGTCATTCAGAGTTAACCAGGAAACAGCACCGACACGAGGCAACCTCCTCCGCTCCTTTGAACTAAGAATCATTGTATTTATTTGAGAGTTCATCGCGGCAGCTTCCAAATCATATAGTCCCAAACATTCCAGGAAGAGAGCTAGACGGCCGTTACGGCCTGTGCCACATAGCGGTTCATTTTCGATTTGCCTCGGCAACTCGTTGTACTAACGAATTCCGACAAGCACTCTCAATCTAAACCGCTGTTTTCTTTGAGTCGGAAAGTCGGTGTCAGGGACTGTAACCAACACAGATCCGTGTTATCTCATGGATTACAGTGTTTGGATTGTAAATCACTTAGCGTAAGCTGTTTCAAGTTGCATTCACCGCAACACTGTGGCCCATCCACACTGAAGCCCGTGTGTACTTAGCAAACCTGCGTTTGCCTTTTGCTCAACCTTGCATACGCTGATCGCCCCCCGTGAAGTTGCGCTGTTCGTTGGTTTTGAAACTCCAACCTCTGAATTTCCCATCCCTAAAACACACCTGAAATTTTGCAGTTTATGCTGTGCTTACACGAGACTGGGGTGCTGATTCCACACCGAGCCTGCTGTTTCGCACCATTCCCCCCCCCAGGTTAGTTGTCGACACACACGTTCCAATAATCGCACCAGGTTTTAGCACCGTCAGTAGTTTAGCACTCGCCGCTTCGAGCTGTTAACTCTACTTAATAACAGCCGTTTATAGCGTCGGAAAGATATGCTAAAAGCCATCTGCCAAGCAGACGTGAACTTAATGTTGGGTCTTGGAGTACCCGCCGAGCAGTTTGATTGCGACATGCAATCCTCCATTGAGATCTCGGCACACTTGGAAGTAGACCTCATTCCGGTCATTGGGAGTGTATGCGAAGGGAAAGGTTTTCGATGTTGCTCCTATCAACACTAACAACCCATGACCGGTTTCGTTCTGGTTTATACTCTTCAAGCGCAGATAGCCTGAGTTAGCCGGAGAACTCGAGTGCTAATGGTTAACGGCTGACGTCTTAATCACCCGGGCCACTGAGATCCGTGAGTAATGCTTGGCGCAGCGAAACCGGTCCTCGTCGTTGGTAGTATTAACACCGGAGCCCTTCCACTGGTGGTGTTTGGAATGACCAACGCCTACTTTAAAGTAAACCGGGGTTTTAATGGAGATTGCTTATCACAGAGGGGGTAGTTCAACCCCAGCTTAGGTTTCTTCCTCGTTTGGACTCTTATTGACGTTGGCGTATACAAAGACCAACAAGTAACCTGATGCCATTTCAGCTTCCGACTTCGATCTGTTTCACTTAGAATCGAAAACCGCTGCTCCCACCTCCCGAGAACGGCATGCATGGACACAGCTTAGCCCATTGTCGTCTGATCACTTGTGCTTTATTCAACCAGGCGCCTCAAAGGCATGCAATGAACTTAGAGAAGAACAGTCTACAGTCCTGCACACAACTGAACCAGTCAATGTGTGCAGTTCACATTTGTCTAATTCTCCATTGCATCACCAACAAATGCTTATTTTATTTTTTATTTTTGGCCACTTAGTGCATGTGGATCCCATATCTCTGGTCTTCTCAGTACTACTGTCATCACTCTTTAATATCGCGTCTCAATCGGTGATCGAAGCTCGCATACAGTGCATTCATCTCGGGCCGCATCCGAAGCACCCGCTACTTGTGGCCGTGAGATTCGAAGTAGGGTGGTGCTGAGAATTCACGGTTGCACAAAATCGCGCCAGCCGTGTACACGCGCAGTCTACGCCCGCTCGCGTTTGGCGCAAATACTACCCGTTTGAACTCAAATCCTATGACCACATCTCCGCTTTAATGGCGTTTGGCTCAGGCATTCGTGTCTGTTTCACAGACATCAAATCAAGACTATACAACATTGTACTAGCATTTTATCGGGTCATAGCACTCTTACTGAAATCCAGTCTTCTCTTCCCTCTATTGGATTAGGGTGCACCACGTGGTAGTGTTCGTCACGTGCGTATTCCGTGTAATGTGCGCCCACTCGAGGATTCCGAGGACTTCCGCGTCCAGTGCGTAAGGTCCTCGTACTATGCCTAGGGACCACAGTGCAAAACAATTATCTCGTACATTATCAGATGGAATTATCACAACTACTTATTAAGTAGCCAAACTGGATGTATAATGCGCCTAGTCAACAACTCTTAAGGATCTGAAAGTCGTTACCACAGTTACCGAGAGGAACTCGTGCTTGAGCTGGCTGAATGGGGAGAACAAACGCAGGAGATGGCTAGCCCAACAGCACAGTAAACGAAATGGAAGGAAGCAATAATGACCGTCTAATCGAGATTCAACCATCTTTTGACCTTATACAAGGACACTGTCGGACCTGCTACATGAGGTGCAGTCCAAGAAGACCACGTCGTTCGTTCTGGGGATACGAGTCGTGAGGACTGTGTCTTTTCGTTTAAACTTCGAAAACCACCGTCACGGACCGGCGTAACAGTTCTGCTGACGCATGGGTGATTACCGAATTAACCAGCTCAGTTTGAGTCTCGTTGGCAGTCACCCGAGGTGGTATTTTCTGTTTGAACCACTGAAATAACATGTGCTCATGTGTAATCGATTAGACTCTCTGTACAGTTTTGTGTTGTTGGCACGTGATGCCCTCTTTCTTGCGACTGTGTTGTTTGTGTAGCGGTGCCAGCGCTACGACATCATTTGGCTTCGTACTTGTGTTGCACGCCTATCTGCGACACCTTTGTAGCAATAAAATTCTCTCTACGGGTCGCAGGTTGACATGTAGGCAACGATTTTCAATTAGATCATTTATTGTTGTTGTTAAGCCGCCGCTGGGGGCTCGGCTCTGCTGTGTACATGCACTCCTGCTTGCACTGTCGCAAGCCGCTGCCTCATTCGGCACGTACTTCGCACTTTCGAATTGCAAGGCACACCACTGCAGAGCAGCGCCGACACGCCATCAGTGCTCGGAACCACCGAACGACCACCAGCGGTGGTTTATTAGGCTACTTATCTAGGTGGCTGTGCCGCATGCTGAAGTTTGGACTAAATTTATTTCACCCCAGGTACAAAGGCCATGTGCTTTCATCAATCATTATGTCAGCCTCAATCACATGTTTTGACGGAACTGCAGCAACTGTTATTTGGCTTTCACATTGAGTACGTACGTTTACAGTCTGGTTCATACCTAGTTCGCTGGTGATGCGTCCTCACTGCTCATGCGTCGTTAGATGGTAGCCTTATCCTCCTCGAGAATTGGTTCTCTTCGGATCCATTTTTACACGTTGCCTTACTTTCCGCTCATTTGTCATTTGCACATGTTGAAATTCCTCTTATATCATCTTGTTTTAACATGTATATGCTTTTGCTGCACTGGTGTTGCTGATTTCTTATTGAAAACGGCCATGATATCACTTTGTTCTCATCTCGTCTATCACATTTGTGCCACCTTTTGTCAGTTCCAGCGTAGCTCGTCATTCCAATGTCGCCAAATGGACTCGTCGAGTGGATCTTTTTTGCAAGGACTACGTTATCATTCCGATCAATGAGGCGTAAGTCTCCATATTCATCTTTTCATTCGGTACTGCAATCGCGTGAGTGTCCTGATCTGTATTTTCACACTACTTACTTGTAAGATCGAACTGGTTATTATGACCAGTCGGTTTTGGGATCGACGTCCCGCCTAATCGCCACCTGCAGGCTTGAAGTATGCGAATGAGATAGTTCTCTCGGGGTCGCACTCAGCCCCTGTGCGCCCACTGTTGACTGGTTTGGCACCAGGCCTTACACACTCGCGCTTGTGCAATGTACCTCCAAAGATTCAAAGTACTGAACCACGATCCAGATTCCAAGCTATCATTCAACAGTCACTCAAGCTAATCAAGCATTCCCGACCCGGTACCCAAGTATCAGTGTCGCTTCTAGTAAACAATTGATTCCACGGGCTACCATATGTCATCAAAACACAATTTACGGTGCAGCAGTGTACGAGTCACAGTCACAACCAGTAGTACAACCATCTACTAAGAATTACGTTGGTTAATTTTCTTTCTTTCTATCACTACCAGTTCGCCCCCTACATAGCCCCTTCTCTCTGAAAACAGTTTAACGTCCTTATCCATATCTCGTGCTACGAGTGTTCTCAATACTCAGTTTCGCATTGCTCATCAAGTTAAATGATTACTTTGCAAATGCCTTCTCGACAGACTAGACAACATTAGTGCGAATTGAAGAGGTTATTTCGCGGAGCCTCGTAAGCGAATTCATGATACCAATACTTCTTCATCGCGTACTTTGTTTAATATCAAGTTTCAATAACCACGGATAATTGCTGCCTTACGGCTCCTTCAATGATGTCGACGTGCTCCAAGTCGAATTAGTGGTTTTCCGCATTCATATACTCGGATGTCAGGGAGTTCTGATCGCAATAACAAGTGGCTAGTCAATGTTCACTCAGCCGTGTGACAACTTTCGTACTGTGAGTCCTACGTAGTATTTGTCACAACATCGGCAACAGATCTTGTGGAGTACACTTTATGTTTCCCTGGTTAAGTTTAGCTTTCACTGTGAAGAGTTTGCTTCGAATTGTCTCTATTGGTGAGTGGTCAGTCTGGACTTCAAAAGGCAACAAAAGTCTCGCCGCCATTTCAGAGACGCACTTTTCTACCGGTGCATTTGTCGAGATTCGTTGTGTTGCATTAGGTGGGGTCAATCAGCGTGGAATGAAGCCTTCTGTGTACGAGGTCTTTTTTAACGAATTGTCTTCCGCCGCTTGCTGTAGCTGCGACGTGCTACAGCGTGTCCGTGCTCGTTTGAAAAGGGCTAACACACAGCTGCGCTTGTGAACTGCCGGATCATTGCTTCTGTATGTACGTGTAATCAAACGATTTTGAGATTCCGCATCATATATGACATCGCCTTTCCTTGCGATAACAAGTTCGGGAATCCAAAATTTACATGCATCCCTGATGTTGCACACAAAGACTGGGTCGGCGGGGAGAAAACATCTCCTAGGCGTACCATGATGTGTCATTTTCTGGTCACGTTCATTAGCCCCCGTTGTTGGGAACAAGGCATCTAACGCTGTGCGTAAACGTCTACCTTTAAAAGGTTCCGACATTGCTTGTTGATTTTGGAAAACAGAGTTTCCTCTTGTACGATATGTACGTAAAAATATATCAAAGTTTGATGCAATATCTCCCACTTCTCTAAGTTTAAACAGAGTATGTTTGGATGTATCGACTTGACTTGTCAACAGGACGGCGAATGATAAACGGGACTGTATACCTCCATGGCCTGATAAAATCGGTTGAACTCGCTTGATGTGAATCGCAGATCATAATCACTAACCATTGTTCCTGCGGCATCAGACTGTGAAAAGTAACGACGAAGCGCTGCAATCGTTCAGTGAGACAGACTACTTCTGACCACTTTGAGTATAAATCAGGAACAACAAACAAATATTGATTGTCTAGCAAAATCCACGTGAATCCGCATCCCAGAGGCAGTTGATTTTAGTCAGGAATGAAGATCAACCTTGATGGGAGCTTTCGCACATTTAGGACATCTATGTACGTCTTCAATATCCTTATCCAGATTTGGCCAGTAACTATGTACAATTAATTCCCTGGTGTCCGACACGCAGTATTTGCATTAATTTTACTCTGAGATTTCTAGGGATCACAACGCAAGCTGCCAGCATTAAACAATCGCTCACTATTGTTAGGGTGTGTTTACGCACGAAATATGGTTTAATTATAGCCTCTGATAGACTATTTGGCCAGCCACTGCGAAGATAATAGTGAACGCCTTGTAAACAACCATCAGATCGTATGGAATCACGTATGTCATTGTAAGTAACCGGTATATTCCGTATCGATTCTTCAAATATGGCATTTATGTCCGCAACAACTTCATGTGGCTGCAAATGTGATCTGTTGGCAATAAGCCGCGGTAAGGCGTCAACACGACCACCACATTTCCAACGGATGTTGCCAAACGCTGCAAGCAATTTGTGGTGTGTAGGGATTCCTCTAGGAATCTCTTCCTTGGTACTAAATATAGACAGCACGAGCATGTGATCAGTTCTTATGGTGAATTTCCGACCATGTGACATTTTACAAAACCTTTTGACTGCATACGTAGTTGCTAAACTTTCGTTTTCAATTTGACTGAAATTTCTTTCAGTTGTTGTTAGCATGCGTGAGATGTCACTGACCGCTTCTTATCTACTGGTGCATAAGTGCTTCTCGGAAGCGATTTGGCGGCAACAATAATGGGCAGTTTCGGGTCATGATGTGTAAGTGCAAGATCCGAAGCTAAAATGTGTTTTATTGCATGACAAGCTTGTGACCGTACCCATTTTGCATCACTTCTCAGGAGTTCATTTAGTGGCATCCATAACCAGTGCATATTAGGGACAAAGTTACTATAATGGTTTACCAGTCCGGAAAACGATTGGAGTGTTTTCTTCTCTTTTGCAACTTGTAGTTGTTAGATGGCCATAATTTTTGTTGGATCAGGACGACGACCACTAGCATCGATTATTGGACCAAGGTACGAAATCCAGGATATGAAGAACGCACATTTATCAATTCGTCTTGTAAATCCGAAATTTCTGGACCTGTCAAACACTACATTCAGGTGCGCTTGATGCGACTCCACTGAAGGGCTTACAGTGATTCTCCCATACATGTGCAAGCCACAGCAAAAGACGTTCCGTTTAGCATAGTGTCCTTTACTCGTTGGAAAAGTTCCAGGGCACATCTAATTCCAAATCGCAGTCTGTTGTATTTATATAGACCCTGATGAGTATTAATTATGAGCTGCCTTGCTTCCCCGTCGACTACGATTTGTAAGTACACAATAGAAGTCGAATTTTGAAATATTTTCAACCATTGAACTGTGCAAACAAGTCATGCGGAATCTACAGTGGGTATTTGTGATTCTGAGATGCATCGTTTAGTCCAGTTGAAAAGTCACCATAAATACGTACTGTGCCATTAGCCATCTTAACTCCGACAATGGGAGTTTCCCAGGTCGAGTTATTAACCGTAATCTTTATGAATCCTTTTAGGGCGGAATACTGGCTTTGCTTTGGTTGTGACATACAAGGTAGCTGGAACTTTAATGCACAACACAATTTCTGACTTGAGATAATTAGCACGTTCGCCAGCTAGGGTGCCAAAGTGTCATCTTTGATTTTTGTGGCAACAGTCGCTACATCAGTTGAAGGCACATATCACATATTCTGAGTGTGTTAGTCACAAATTGAACTAATCGGAACATCCCGTAATTGCAACTCATCTATCCATTCAATGCTGCAATTTAACATGTTACTCTGCCTCTATCGATTCAAAATGCCAACACACTCCCAGCATAGAAATTGGCGTGTCAGAAGCGTTCCGAGCATTGCGTTTAATAACACAATAACCCGGTGCTCCAACGCATTTCCAACTTGAATGTGAAATGAATGTTATGTCAGAAGCCCTGTCGATTTGAAAGGTTACTGGCAAATCATTAATTGCTAATGCGATAAATTTTCAGCCTTGCCTTCCACGTGGACTGCATGTAGTGGACACCAGATTTGATCGCCCTCTGAATCGAGTTGATTGACGCTGCTTATACAAACGGACACAGTGTCTCCTCGTGACCTAATGTGTCATGTTGTTGACAATTACGAAAAAAAATTCAAAAAGCGTGCAAAATGTCATGCATTACAATTCCAACATGTGTAGGTGGTATTTAAAACCATCCAACTGATTTCGAAATCGGTTCCATTCCACCTTGGATTTGGTGCAGTTATCAACAGAAGTAATATGATCATAACGGTTGCTTGACTTGTTCTAACAGATCAATAACTCGATCTTGGAAACTCCCATTGTCGGAGTTAAGATGGCTAATGGCACAGTATATATTTATGGTGATTTTTCAACTGGACTAAACGATGCATCTCAGAATCACAAATACCCACTGTAGATTCCGCATGACTTGTTTGCACAGTTCAATGGTTGAAAATATTTCAAAATTCGACTTCTATTGTGTACTTACAAATCGTAGTCGACGAGGAATCAAGGCAGCTCATAATTAATACTCATCAGGGTCTATATAAATACAACAGACTGCGATTTGGAATTAGATGTACCATGGAAATTTTCCAATAGGTAAAGGACACTATGCTAAACGGAACGTCTTTTGCTGTGGCTTGCACATGTATGGGAGAATCACTGTAAGCCCTTCAGTGGAGTCGCATCAAGCGCACCTGAATGTAGTGTTTGACAGGTCCAGAAATTTCGGATTTACAAGACGAATTGATAAATGTGCGTTCTTCATATCCTGGATTTCGTACCTTGGTCCAATAATCGATGCTAGTGGTCGTCGTCCTGATCCAACAAAAATTATGGCCATCTAACAACTACAAGTTGCAAAAGAGAGGAAAACACTCCAATCGTTTTCCGGACTGGTAAACCATCATAGTAACTTTGTCCCTAATATGCACTCGCTATGGATGCCACTAGATGAACTCCTGAGAAGTGATGCAAAATGGGTATGG